CAGTGACCAATATGGAGCCCAGGCTAGCAGCAGCCCTCAGCATTCATACAACTGGGATATGTTGTAAGCTTTGGCTCTAGAAATTGCTAATTGGAGCAATATGAGAAGGCAGAGCACCTAAGCTCAAATTTTATCAAATCTTTTGGGTCTTACTTGCTTGGTTTGAAATCTATGCTGAGGACAAAAAACCATGGAGATGGCAAGAAAAAAAAATATATATATATATATATAAACACATAAATAATATTGCTCTGTCACAAGAACAGGCACATGGAGCAACACATGGTGTTCAATTAGTCAAACTGGAAATATTTTCCTACAAATTACTGACTGGTGATTCTCTGAGTGTTGAACATCTAAAACAATGCAGGTTCTGTCCAAGGAGAACATGAAAATACAACACGTACACACAAAAAAATAAGCATGCACACACACACACAAGCAAAAAAAAAAAACCTTCTAAACAAGTCAACCAAAGGCTCCCTATGGGTCCCTGTAGATAATCTGAGATTTTCCAGTATTCCAAAACTCTATCTTAACATCTTAAGATCTTAACATCTCAGAACATCTCACTTATCTTAACATCTCAGAACATAGGCATTAAAAGTCTAAGAAATTTACAACTGCAAACAGAGTTTGAGTGGAAATCATTATTCATTTCCAGCTTCTTTTAGTATTCTTTTTTTCTTCATTAAAACTAGCCCTAGGAAAAAAAAAAAAAAAAAAAAGAGAGGGGGAGGGGGGGAGAGAGAGAGAGATTAAACTAATGAGAAGTCAAATCAAGGCAATGTACATGTTCTCACTGAAAAGGTACCTGCTGCTGCAGGGTATCTTGTCACAAGGTGGGCACTGATGCACCCTTGCATTCAGATGTGGCTCCTATCATGGCCCCAGTGAGAATAAGCACTGAGGCAGGGAAAAAGTAGGCCTGATGTAGCTTTTCAAATTGATGCTGCTTGTGGAGAGGAACAAACAGCTCATCTCCAACCGAGGGGCTGACTCTCGTCATTTATTCATGGCCAGCCCCCTGCCTGGATGGAAATAAAAATGTTTCAAAGATGACTGCGTGGGGGAGCTGGAGGACAGCTTGAAGGCAAACTGAGGTTAGCACATTAATTTTTTATCTCTGGAGACTGGGTATCCAATTATGCTTAGAGTACACAAACAACTTTAGCTGGTCTCTCCAGTAGCGATTTATCCACATCATAAAATCTGCAATGCAACTGGGCACAACAGGCCAATACCACAAAATAACATAAACAGGTGGTTTCACAGGTTAGGTGCTCAAGTTTGCAGAGTGACAGGAGTGCACAGAACTGCATTCTTGTTAATTAAGCTTACTGCAGGTAAGACTCAACTTGCACGAGACAGGCCAGCAACAGTCAGCACAATGTGCTTTATTTAGAATCATCTTTGGCCAAAGTGCTTGTGGGCACAAGTTCAGTTGCTGTTTACTATGCAGCTGCCTGTAACCAATGCTTCACACTGCAAAATGCCACTGAAGGTTCTTCTTCTTTCACTGGGAGGCAGTTTTTCTCCATGTAGACAGACCATCCTATTCTCTTGGGAATTAAGGAAGTGCATTTATACTAGCACACTCATTCATATACATTTCAATAGATGGAAGTCTAATGTAATTCCTATATCAGAAGTGTCTCCAAATTTGTGAACACCAGCTGCCCCCAAGAGCTGGCCTGTACCCATACAGATGGAATAAAACAGCAAGTGTTTTGTGGCAGTCTTGGATGCACCCTGAGCTCACAAATCTCACGGTGTCAGTGCCAACATGTGGAGGAAAAGGCAGCAGAAGAAATGCTGAAAATGGTGTGGGGTTATTTCTTTTTATTGGTGGACTTGAAGAAAAGGGGAGTTGACTCTTTTAAAGGTTTTCTATAATCTCTTTTTCACAAGACCATATTCATGCCAAAAATCAGAAAGCATGTCAATGATAAATGGGTGTATAGGTGAAGGCAAGACTAAGCACTGAGAAAAAACTGTATCTGTGTCAAAGGGCTAGATAAGACGTACAAACAAAGCAGCTAAAGCTCAAACAAAGCTCAGGCCAAGGTGTTTTAGGAAAGGCAAAAGCAAGAGAATACTGTTGAACTGTCTTTCCTGATGCAAAGGATCATCTACAGAAAGGAAGACATCTGAGTTGTAAATAAACCTTCTGCACCTCCCAAGGACAGTGAGACATCCCAGAGAAGTGAGACTTGGGGTTTGGGTCAGTCTTCTTCTTTAATACACATCTCTTCAGTAGCTTTCATTTCCAGATAGGTTGTTCCTATCTAAATCTCCTTTCCAGTCCCTGGATAATTTACCTCACTATCCAAATTGGTCTATGCAGGAGGAGAAGAGTAAAGATGAACGGGTTCGGGTGTGCAAGAAGCCATCAGGTCTTGAGCTGGCTCTAGCCAGGGCATCAGTAACTGAATCTTGTAGGAGCTGAGCTTCAGAAACACCATTCTTGCATAAGCAAAGCTGCCATTACTGCAGGTACTGCAAGGAGCAGAGACTGTAGAAGCTACTGCAGACACTTAGGTACAAAGGAAGTTCACGCTGCAAATGCCTGCCTGCCTGAACTTCACTGACCCAATGCTCACCTCCCACAGCGTGACAAATTCCAAATGGCTGGTTTCAATTTGCCTTGCCATTGCTAAATCAGGCTGCTCCTATCTCTCTGACACACTGCTAAGCAAATAACCAGATCCTGCTCTATACCATATCTCTGGTCCTCCTGTTCAGTAGGTTGCGGATTAGCTGTTTGGATTAAAATCCCCCCCTCCTCCCTCCCTTTTCCCCCAAGCCCATGCAGAGAGGATTCTTGAAGCCCAAGCCCTGCAATACTGCAAACCTGTCAAATCTAATTCATAACACATGCCTAGCAGTTCTTAGGGGAGAGGAAAGATCTGATACTCTGGCTCCTCACCATCCTCCTGTACAAAGGGACCATTTAATGACTGCACATTAGCAATGTGGACAATTAGCATTCACATGGAAGATAAATGGCAGCATAAATTAAATATCACCAAGTGAAAGAGCAAAGATGCAAGATCTGAGCTCAAGGCTGTAAACAAATAAACAGGCAAAAAGGAACGAACAGCGACTGCGACAGCTAAACCATTTGGGAGAGTTACCTTCCAGCATCTGGGACTTTCCCCAACGGTGATCTTTACATTCGCATAGCTGTTGCCTGTACCTCACTGGCTCCTGTCTGGTTGTTAACCAGATTCTTTCTGTTTGGGAATCTGGATGTCAGAGGATTTTACCCCACTGGTTTTGTACTTCTGCCTGTTTTGGGATTTGTGCTTTAGCAGATTGCCTCTGCTGCACATGCATTACACAGAAGCTCGGGGGGAACACAAGCCTGAGTAGTTCCTATTCTACCCCATCCTATGCAGCAGAACAAATCTTTCTTTCCATGGGCTAAGTCCTCTGATGCTAACCTTCCCACAGCTTTTCTAGCTCCTCTTTCTGCTAACTGTAACAAATTCTTAAGTACCAGAAGGATAAGGACTGCAACTGTCCTTGACCTCTGTGACAAGCTGAAGGGTAAAACACACTACCCTTCTTTGTCTGAGCATCTGTGCAAAGCCATTATGAATATTAACTCAATAGAGACTTGTGATATGCCTCTCAGGTATATAGCTATAACTAAATATTGCAGGCATTAAAAAAAAGTATAAAAAAAGCCAACAATTACAAAACTTAGAGATAATGTAAATGTTAAGTAAACAAAAGCTACTGGCAGAACACTGACAGTCTCCAGCCTGCCTAAGCTGCTCTTAGTGCACAGCTAGCTCAAGTCTGTCAAGAGCTGGAAGAGTCAAAATTACCTTTACTATGAACCTACCAAACACATGAATAACTGAAAAGCAGGGCATAAAAGTGACAGAAATACTGAGATTGTCGAATGGGAGTGGCCCTTCAAGCTCACACAGTGGCTAGCAGCAGATGCTTTGGAGGACGGAAACCCCCTCCCCTCCATCCCTGGGGACAATTATCAATTATCTGACTTGAAAGAAAATGTTTTCCTACTTCCATAAGTCTTCCACTTCTTCATAACACATAACATGTTTGCTGGATATTTCTTCCCATAAGCATTTTATAGCTTTGTTTGCATTGTTCATTACTCTGAACTAAGATGACACACTTCACAATGTGATTTAACAGGATGTCTCAAAAGTGAACAAAAGTAAGTTCACTAATCCCAAGGTAAAAGTAACTATCCCATAGTACTGCACACTGGAAATCTGAGAAACAGCAGCTTAGAGACTTGCCAGTCTTACGAAAAATTAGTACATAGCACCGTCTCCTTAATCTCCTGTTCTGTGCCTAAGAAACAGAGGAAGGATAGACCAATATGTCCATTCAGGCATTACTTTTCTTTCAGCCTTGCACTGGTGTCAGAAATCTAGGCATGTGACTCATCTCACATTCTAGCACTCCTTGCAGAGGAGAACTGGTATTTTTTCATAGATTTTCCAGAACTGTAACTAAGAAGCATCTTTTGGTAAAGTTGAGTGTGAGGCTTTTGAGGAAGCAATGCAGGGATAAGGAGAACAGAAGCTGTGAATTTCATATAAAAAAATCCAAGGCAGGGATAAAGGTGTCTTACTCAAAGGCAAAACAATGACAGCCCCCTGAAACGGAATGTGCATTTCCTTGACATCCCTACTAACAGCCACTGGGAGGTTGCTTGACAAAGGGTGGGTTGGGCAGCTCTTCTTCCCCCCCCACCCCCCCCCTCCCTGACACCTCCTCCCCACAGGAGCAGTAATGGAAAAGTGACTTGCTGCAGAGATAATGCTGGGTTTGAAATGAATTCCTGACTAGCTGAGCCAGCACTGGTGTGAGCTGCGGCTGATTAGCTCCAAGCATCCAGGTACCAATCACTCACAACGGAGCCAGGCAATCAAGCCAGCCTCCACAAAGCAAAGAACAGCTGAAGGCAACATCTCCAAAAAGGATCTCAAAGGTAAAGGGAAAATACTACTCACGTTTGTGGTTTTCATTTCTGTGGACAGGAGAAGAGCGGGTCTCCTGCTCCCGGGCTTCATCACCCTCTTCACTGGCAAGATGAGTATGAGCATAGTGGTAACTCAGTCCAGGCCTGTTCTTGTAACGCTTGCCACAGACTTGGAGGAAAGGCAACAGGAGGGAGGAGAAGAGAGAATGGAAACATCAGGACAACCTGAAACAATGACAGCATTCTTCAAACAGCACCCCCTCCTCCCCTGGCAGTAGCATCACACATTCCATGTTCCTGCCTGAAATACTCCCAGTGGGTGTCAATAAAAGGTGACAGACACCAGCTCAGCTGCCCCGCATCCCCAGATAAGCACACCTCCCGTGCTGCCAGCAACTCTTCCTGCTGGCCTAAACAAATGAACATCCAGTCTCTGCAGCTCATACAGTCCTAATCCTCTCTGCTGAGATTGCTAACAAGATTGCACATAAAATTAAATGAAATGCCCCAGCTCTGATGTTGATGCTAAACAATGCACAGCAAGGGGAACTGGACCAAGAAGAAAGGACATTATTTTCTTGATTATTGATCCCTAGGAAAAGAAAACAAAATTACAAAAGGCTTTATTTTAAAAAGCAATAAATAGCTTTGTTCATAATTCCCAGTCAAGACAAGGAGATGGAAGTCATCCACAGTTTCTTCCTTGAAGAACAGTAGTGATTCTTCCCCATCCAGGTTAACTTCACATTCAGAATCCTAATGAACAGCATAAAATGTGACGTGGAATCCTGCTTCTGAATTTTTGTTTGTTTTAAGACTAAGTCAACAGGCATTAAGAACAAGAATAAACAATTCAGGCTGATGAAAGGTCTACAGAGTGTATAAGCTCAATGCAAGGGCAAACTTCATCATAAAATTCATTATATACAAATTGAGCTTCTGTAAAGATTTTAATTTGTGTTACCGTTTCTAAAAGTTCTCTCTTTTTATCTTCAAAGCATTCTCTGAATGTCCATTTTCTTTTATGCAGATATTTCATCTATGAAATTGTATTTCATATTGCCACTTCAGAAGACTAGTAAACAAAAGCAGAAGCTTAGTGGCCTTCCTGCAGATTTTTCCTGCTAGTTATGTATTCAGTCACTGTACAGCTTCAGCAGTCTGAAGGATTTCACTCAGGAATAAGTGTTGTGTCCAGTACTCTGCCCATGTAGCATGCTAGGAAGGTGTGCCAGAAGATAAAACAGAACTCAACCTCTAATTCTCTGTCTTTATGTTACGCCTCTTCAAAAGATCTCCAAGGGAAGTCACCATCCAGTCCTAAAATCGTCACTCAACTTGATACCTGAAATGAATCCTGCAATGCATACAGGTACTTCCCATTCCATAGACAACTGAGTAATTACATCAATGTCATTAAACTCTAAAAAGAAGCAAACAAACAAGAAAAAAAATCATAAAAAGACTCACTGCAATAATTCACACCTAAGTAAAACCTCCATTATTTTACTTTTCTGCTGCTGCTCACAAAAAGCCAGTTGATGTTCCACAGTGTAGAACAAAGGACAGAAATTTGTAAATCAAAGCCTACCATAACAGATTTAATTCTCTGTCTTTTCTAACTTATTGTTATTATTGTTTCCTTAGGGAAAATACTTTGCGTTATTATAAACGTGTGATACAACCCCATGATATGAATAAAATGACTGAACTGAAAGATTAGATACTTTTATTCCAGTTTTCTCCATTCTGCAAGATGGTGATCATGGAGTTATTCCAACAGAAAGAGGTTTTTTTCCAAATGCAACGCATCCTGAGCAGAGGGGTATTAAGTCTTTGAATTCCCTTGATTTAGAAATGAAAATTCCTGCAGAAGAGAAACTGGGAAGGATTAAAATGCCCAGATGCATATGTTCATACATTCTTTTAAGCATCTACCCTCATCTGTGCTGTAAACCTAACTGTTTTTTGAACAATTTTTTGAACAACTAGATTGGTATTCAGTGCATGCTGTCGTCAAAACACAAGTTTGGTCTCCCTTCTTCTAGTAGCAGTCACAGAATCATTGAATCACCAAAGTTGGAAAAGACCTCTAACAACATCCAAGTCCAACCATCTACCTAGCACTAAAATTTCCCACTAAACCATGTCCCTCAGTATTTTTCTACTCCATTCTGGAGAGCAGAATTACCTACTGCTCATCCGAAGGCTTACAGAATAAAGGACAAGCAGGGAAACAGCTACTGACAAGGAGTAAAACAACCAGAAGCCCACAGTTCTGTGTAACTTAGCCTCCACTTTTCGAATATTTGGAAAAGTGTAACTCAGAAGTCACCATCAAACCAAAGACAGCTACAAAATTCTCACTGTTTCAATTATTACAGAAGGATAACTCCATCTAATTAAGCAACTGTAATAGCATTTATTAGAATGGAGAGAGAGATTAACATTCCTAGCAGATTATTGAAGCATTTCACTAAGTATCCTGCTCTAACCACCTTATTTGTGTGTTTGAGATAGAAGTTAAAAATCATATTTTTGCTATGAATTACTAGTACTGCTCAAAACCTTCCCTGTTTAACTTCTACTCAGAGCACAGACAGATGATCAGTACTGTACTAACAAAGGAGAGGCACCTGGAATCAATAGCTATGTGATATAAACGATCCAGTTATACCTTGTTCTTACTCTGCTTGATCCCGCATTACTACTAATCTAGCTGTAAAAACAGATATCTAAAACCCAGTCCAGTATCCCATTTTCAATGTTGGCTTTTTTTTTTTTTTAATTTTGAATAAAAAATATTTAAATATTTCTAAAAATTCTACCAAGCTTCATTCCATTTAGGCCTACATGAAAACATAGCTATGATTCTAACCCCAATGATTCTAGCAAGATAAGGTGTTATCTTGCAAAAGCAAAGCATCCTTTAATAAAGGTCTCATACAGCTTTCTCCCTCAACGCACAGAAGGAAACTTGCATTCCCTGAAGAAACTCCCAAGGCTGTGGTCTTATCTCCATTCCCAACATGATCCTATAGGGATTTCGGTCAAGAGCTTAAGATGGTATAGGATAGTATAGGAAATCAGATGGGTTTTCAGATTTTCCCTTCTCAAGCAAAAAAAATAATAATAATAAAACATATATATATATAAACCCAACAGCAAAAATCAGCAAGCATCAATATAAGGTTGTAATAATAGGCTGTAGTAATTCTGCAGCTGGGCCTTTCTCACTGGCAATATTCTTTGAGATAACTTTCAAGTGTAGCAGAAAGCTGAGACGTTCCTAGCTAAAAAGGAATTTGGAGGAATTTATAACTAACGCTGAGGTAAAGGAGTTCTGTTTACACAGTTTCAGAAGATCCTTTGTAGGACCAAAGATTTGCAGCTTCCAGCAGCCTTTTTTTCTGGATGTCTAGACTTTTTCTCCTTTCAAATTCATGTTCTGTCATGGAAAGAGTCTAAAACATGAGTCAAAACTACAGGGATTTCCTATTCCCCAGACAGATTAGACTTCTGTAGGGGAAAAAGGTTATCATGATACTAGTCAGGTAAAGGAGTCATTGGCTTCGGTGATAGTTTGAAACCTAAAATAAAAGCTAAGTCTGAGCCTCATGGTTTCTCCAACAGATTGGAATCTTCGCAAATTCTTTACCTCTTATTTTTCGGATAGAGCACATTTTATTAACCTACCATATCACCACGCTAAGAAGCGGTTTCTATAAAAGGGTGATCATTAATGAACACTTAGCTCTTAAATAACTCTTCCCACTACAAAACTGGCTTTTCAAACATTAATTAATCTTTTTCCACATTCCTGAGTGGGAAACACTCATTTCACTTTTAAAACAAGAGAACCAAAGGAGGGTTGAGTGGCTTGCCCACACAGTGATCTTTCATCATTACCAGGATTAGAATTCATGAGTTCCACCACCCAGACCAATGCTCACATCACATCTTTCTCATTCTCTGAGCTGACAAAAGCATAATGGGAACTGGTTCCCCCAGTCAGAAATGTATGCTAGTGATTATGTTCTAACACTACGCAGCTCATACATAGTAACTGAGAGTGTGCCTTTCATAAGCATTGCTGGGTGGCCTTGCCTTTCTTTCAGTGGCTTTGACTGTTTTGTCTTTAATTTTCCATGCTGCGTAGGCTCATCATCCTTGCATGTGGCGGATTTCATCCTGAATCTCAACACGGGGAAGTTGACTTCAGCTTTAATTAGGTAGCCGAGCCCAATGAAAACAGCAGGAGTTTGTAGAACATAACCCACTCCAGTTCCTCCTGCATTCAGAGGATGTATTTTCTACAACCTGATGTGAATGCCATCTTAGAAACAAGCTGAGTAAGTAAGCACTAACATGGCAGTGCAGATCAAACAGCACTGATGAGGAAGATTTTATTAGGTTACCAAACACTCTCCTATGAAGGACTTTACGTTCCTTCCAAGACTGAAATGAAGAAATTACACAACTGTGTTACAAGGAAAAAAACCATAATTTGCAGACAGTTTAATCACAAGCGTTGAATACTTCATAAAAGAGAGTTCTGTTCTAAGTTCTGGCCTGTAACAACCTGTAACTCCTTGGATAAACAAATTTTCTATCTGTTTATGCTTCTCTATGAGTAAAATTAATCTAAAATACTTCCCCTGCTTTAAAAGAAGGTTTAAAATCTATGACTTAAAAGATTTCCTAATCAAATATTTAATAGCTGTGTTGCTGTCATTTTGAAATTGTTACACATTTGGTCCTTGGCAGGCTGTGAGCTATGTTCCAGCCAGCTCTCCACATACATTTTGCACAATCTGTCACCAGTATGACACAGAAGGAAACAATCCATGTTTTTAGTGAAAACAGGAAATTGAGGGAGTATGAGCGGGTTTTTTTCGTTTTTCTTTCTCTTTCTTTTTTTTTTTTTTACTGAATCTAGCTCCTTCATTGTCTTTGCTTTTCTCCTTTGCCTTCTGTTCTTTATTCTCAACTGAGTTGTGTCAAATACTAAACTTAAGGCAATTGCTAGCAGATAGCCATTCCTCAAAACCAGCTTCCTGTCCCACCATTCTCTCCACTCCAAACAAAACCCATTCCCTGTTTTGCACTGGTTTGGTGATATAATTTTCACTGTAACAGCTATGTCCACTCTCTGCATATCTAGAGATC